CAAAAGCTGTCACAACCTGGGAGCAACTTTAATATGAGGAAAAGCACATTTTGGACTGTCCTAGAAAGTGGAAAGAAGAAAGGAAATTACCTGCTGTGGGTCTGCTACGATCCCTCATTTCTTTCAGTTTCTGCACTTCTTTCTTCAGTGGCTCATCTAAGTCAGTCCAGCTTAGCTGAAGATGTCAGGAAGAGAAGAAGAAATGTTAGTTATCCTCCTTTTCCTGAAATGCCAGAATTCTCCTCTCTCTTCCACTCCCTGCCTTAATTGTCAATCCCCATGGATAACAACCCTGTTTTGGGAAAGTGCCAGAGTAGACTCTGGCCCTGATCCTAGAATGAGAACTGCCCTAAGTTGCCCATCTAAGGCTCAGAAACTCAGGAGAAGGTGCAGCTAAACACAAAGAACTGCAGATCCATGAAGAATATTCTAAAAAACTAATTTTGATCCTAAGGAGAGAAACCTCACGGTGGACTCAAAACTGCTGCAGGTTTTTACCTCAATCACATCCCTCCTGGCCTTCAGCATAGCTATGAATTCACCAAGAGAGGGATGAGTCCAAGAACTCAATCTGAACCTGGGAAGACCAGAAAGCTGCCACCTGCAGAATCAAAGGCTACACCATTCTCCCACAAGACACAGAAATGCAACTGCCCTGGCTACAGCACACTGCAGATATTTAGCCTGCAAAGAGACATCTAATATATCCACCATATTAACCAAAATTACCTTGCTGGAGAAGGGGTTATTGGACAAAAACGCAGCCAGGAGCTGGATCGCATTCTTAACCACTAAGACAGATTTGTCTTTGAGCCGCCCAACAGCCAGCGACACCACAGACTGAAACTGAGTCAAAGGCAGAGCCTAGAACACAACAAGAGCACAGATAAAGTTATCAAGAAGGCTCAGAGACTTGGGAAAAGTTTGCTGCAGACATATTCATGTACTAAAAAGCACAGATTATAGATTTACAGAAAAGTCTAGGGCTCAAAAGACCTCTGGATATATTCTGGTCCAGCCTCCACTGAAAGCAAGGATTTAGGTTATCCAGGATCCTGCTGAGTTGAATCTTATTATATCTGGTAATTGCAATGCTCTCCCACACCAGTGTGTGAAAAGATGCTGTGCTCTTTCTTCTAGTTTGTCCTGGTAAGAATGAGCAGCATCTAATTTCCACCCCAGTTCCCCCACCTTTGGGATCTTTGGTCTCTTGGAAGAAACTGCAGACCCCACAGTACACAGGGACAGCACATTGCTCTGTTAAAACTTCATTCTCTGCAAACAAAAAGCAGGGTGGCAGAAATTCCCTCAGAACACACAAGATGGGAAGAGATGACTGAGGCAACGCCATTTGCCCAGCACAGACTTGCCTTGCACTGCACGATGCGAGTGAAGAGCTGCAGCACGCGGCTGCGAACAAAGCTATGGACGTCACACACGTGGGCCTGCAGCATATCCAGGAACTTGTCCCGAGTACCACGGGCAGATTCCTCCAGCTGGTCACCATTCAGCACCTGCACCAGCACTTCTGCCATAGCCGCCAGAATGGCGTTTCGCATCGTGTAACTCTGCCAAGACAGGAGTTGTTGAACAAGGAACGGACCAAAAGACATGATTTGATATGCCCAGAGTTTGGGCCTTCCAAATCCCAGGCTCCAGCCCTAAGTGAATTTTTTCAGTATGGATATTGTATTAAGTTTGGGTGAACATAGCTGTGCGTGCAAGACACAGTAACCTTTGCTATGAAGAGAGGCTGAGAGTTGGTCTTGTTCAGCCTGCAGAAGAGAAGGCTCTGGGGAGGCACCTTCCAGTACCTAAAGGGGGCTGTGAGAGAGCTGGAGAGGGCCTTTTTACCAGGGCATTCAGTGATAGGGCAAGAGAGAATGCCTCAAAGTGAAGGCAGGTTTAGATTACATATGAGGAACAAATTCTTTACCGAGAGCGTGGTGAGATATTTGAACAGGTTGTCCAGAGAAGCTGTGGATGCCCCATCCCTAGAACAGTTCAAGGCCAGGCTGGATGGGGCTCCTGTTCTCTGACATCTGATAGTGACAACCAGACAGGAAATGCCATGGTTTCTGTTCCCTTTGCATCTTTTAGATAAGGGCAGAATCTATTCCAGTAGAGCAGGTTTTGGATGCTTGAGCTCTGTGAAACAGGTTCTGTTTCAGACAGAAAAACTGGATAGCAGCATCTCGACTGTTTGACTTTTCTGGACAGGTGACTTTGCAGAAACATACCTCCCCATCCAAGTGAGGCAGAAGAACACTCATGTTGGAGAGCACCAGAGTTGGAATCTGTTCAGCCAGTTCACTTATAAAAGCAGCATAACCCTTGACTCCAGAAGCCTCACGAGCCAAATCCTGGGGACATTTCTGTCCAATTTCCCTGAACAGAAACATGAAACAAGGAATGGGGTGCCTCAAATTGCTAGGGATAAAAGGACAAGCCTCCAAGTATTTGTCTCACCTTAGCAGTTCACCCACCAGGCTTTTTAGACCATACTCTTTAGCCCAGAGGCTCACAGCCTGTGCAAACACAGGGGCTACGTGTTCGAAGTGCTGCAGCATCTGCGTGATCTTCAGAGTGGCACCTTTAACACGTGAGAAGGAAGAAAGAGGTCAGGGAAAGTAACTGGGAATGGCTTCAGGAAGAAGGAAGGCAGAAGAGCAGGAACTCACTATACATGTGGTCACAGTGAACCAGAGCTGCAGCAAGCAGATGTGTCACAGCCTCCCGTGTGACCCGGTACCTCTGAAGGCCGATACTTGGATTCTCCAGGATACGGTAGCAGCTTCCTGTCATTAAGCTAAACCCACAGAAGACAGACAGCAAACCTCACTGTCATAACTTGCACAAACATCATTCTAGCACACTACACATTTCTGTTAGAGAGATTCTCCAGTGTCCTCTAAAAATTAGCAAGCATCTGAATTTTTGTGGCCTATGTGAGGAGAGGAAGTGGCTCCTATACACATCACTTTTGCCTCAAGCTGTTTCCTCAGCTTCCCAATGATCTGCACCCCACAGAGGGCTGTAATACCATCTCCTTGGTAGATCTATCATTTAACCTTTCATCCCTCAGAACCAGTCACTCATTCCACCAATACACCCGCTCCAACTCATACCTGACAAACTCTTCTTCCACTGCTAAACCACCCCAAAGCTGACGGAGATCCAGCTGCAGCAGCTGTGTAAGCAGCCGTAAAAGCTTTTCCCTCTCCTCTTCCCACAAGGATCCAGAAGTCTTGGCATGGTTCTTCCTGCTCTAGAAAGGAGATTACACAGTGAGATATATCAGCAGCTTCACAACAGACAAAACACCAGCAAGAAGTGTGAGATCACAGGGGCTTTTCCCCCCCACCCAGTTCTTTCTCTCTCAGCTCAAGCCAGCACCAGTGTCTTCTGTGGTTTAAGGATTATACCTGCATCCACTGCCATCACAGAAAGGAAATCTTGAGAAAATACTGGCACACTAAGTTCCAGCCAGAAACTCAAGAATGAAATAGAAAGGTCTGGGCATCCAAGTCCCTTCTGATATTTAGACACACGACAGTCCCTTTGCTGTTTTCCATGCACAGTTTCACAGAAGCACCAGTGCTCCACATCACGGACTGCTCTTGCTGGCATCATGTCTATATAAACTCAGCTATAAAATCTGACAGATACTAGAGAGTTCAGCAAGCTTAAAATTTTATTCTGACTTTTATCATCTTTCTTCCAGTCTCTTCACCTACCTTCCTACCAGGATCTGCCTCCAAACAACTGTTCTTGCAGGTTTCCATTTCAAAGGCATCCATCAGGCCAGTCAGCAAATAGCAGTTCATCTTAAGAGCATTGAGGTGAGCAGCGCGGTCTGCATGGCTCAGCCCAGAGTCGCTCAAGATAGTGGGAAGTTCATTGGAATGATGGGACACCACTGAGGAGAAGCAGAAAGTCATGAGCACTCCTTGCCAGGTCCCTCAACCATCCTCTCCTTGGGAGGCCTAGAGCAGCCATCAGATTACCAAAGATGTGTGCTCACATCTCACCAGCTGTAACACGGGCTGCCCCCTGCAGCCCAGACCTTGGCCATGCTGTCTTGTCCTATCCCCACAGCCCTCTGTCAGCTCAGAGAAACACTCGCTCTGAGCTGATACATCCCACAGACGTATTTTCCAGGGACACGGGCACGAGGATTTTCTGTCGGTCTGCCCTTACAGCGAACATGCACAACTCAGCATCGTCCACCAAGATTACAGACCCGTATGACAGGAGCGGGCTGAGGGTGCAGCCCAGCTGGCCGAGTCACATTAGCCTTTATATCATCATTGAGCCGCCAACCTCCCTGTTAGCGCGGCGTCAGCCGGCCGGAAACAGCGGGTACCCACCGTGCATCATCAGCTCCAGGGCGTCCTCCTTGACAGCCGCGCCCGCGGTTCGGAAGTGGCTGCGGGACAAACACAGGGCGTAAGGGCGGCGAGCAAAGAGCGCCTGGCAGAGGGGCGAGCGCCCGCCCCTCCGGCCCGTCCCTGCCCCGTACTCACTGCAGCACGCTGTACACGCAGTCGAAGTGCTGCAGCACGGCCAGCGCGCCCCGCGCTCGGAAGGCGGCCCGGAAAGCTGCGGCAAAACACAGAGAGAGGCGGGGGGGATGCCCGTGAGCCGGCGGCACGACCGGGCCCAGCCGGGAGGGGGGTGTAGGGACACCTTACCTGCGAGCGCGGGCGGCAGATCGCGGGCGGCCAGCACCTCCTGCACCACGTAGCGCCCGGGGCCGCCATCCCGCAGCAGATCGGCGGCAGCGAGGGGCAGGTGGAACTCCGGGGCCGCCGCCATGGCCGCCACAGCCCCGCACGGCCCCGGGCGCTCGAAACAGCGCGCGCGGACCGCGCTCGCCCCGCCCCTTCCCGCCACGGCCCTATCAGCACCCGGCGGCTGCGCCGCGCGCCGACCCCTCGCCCAATCGCCGGCTCCCCTGCCCTCCCGACCGTTGGCGCAACGTCACCCGCGCGCCTCTGCGCTCCGCGGCGGAAGGGGCGGCCCGGCGGCACCGCCGCTCTTCCCGTCCCATCCCGTCCCGTCCCGGGGCAACGCTGCTCATCCCCATGGCGGCGGCGGCAACGCTGCTGCTGAGAGCGGCGGGCCGGGCCCTGCTGGGCCGTGCCGCCCCCCTGCCCTGCGCCGAGCGGAGCTTTAGCGACTGCGGCGGGGCGCGCTGGGCGCCCGCGCGGCCCGGCCTCCCCGTGCCGCTGTCCTCGCCCCTGGCTGGGCTCTCCCGGCCCATCCGCATCAAGGAGCCGCCCAAGCGCAAGCCGGTAGATCGGTGGACGAAGAAGCGGGCCTTGTTCGGGGTGTATGATAACGTGGGGATCCTGGGTAAGACACGCACGCCCCGGCGCTGTGGCCCGCGGCAGGAGCGGCCCGGGGCTGCACGCACCTGCGGGATGGCAGCCACAGCGCGGGGGTAACTAGGGCCGGCCCCCTGGGAACAGCCCTCTCCTGTGCCTGCCTTCATCTGTCCCTGCTCTCCTGTTGTCAGGCGGCTTCCAGATCCACCCGAAGAGTCTCATCATGGGGCCCACTTGGCTGCGAGGCTGGCGGGGGAACGAGCTGCAGAGGTGCATCCGCAAGAAGCAGATGGTGGGCGATCGGATGTTTGCAGAGGACTATGACAAACTCAACAAGAGGATCCGGTACTTGTACAAGCGCTTCAATCGCACCGGAAAGCACCGCTAGGGAACAGCAGTGGCTTCAGCCCGTGGAGTGTAGTTTTGTGGCATTGCAGTCGGAATAAAACCAGCTTCCACACGATTGAGTTCCCAGTGCTTTCTACAGCCTTTGCTGCATATTTCTACACAAGTCTCAAGGTCCTGCCACTGCTCCAGGCTGAGCTCCTCTGTGCCCCCTCAGTCATTTCTGACATCTTGCAGGCATCTGTTCCAGCCTGCATCCCTGAACGTGACCCTCTGCTCCTCTGGTTTTTTGGCCGGGCTCCTAGCATCCTTTCAGTCTCTGAGCCCCAGGTTCACACATCTCACATGACAATTCCAGTCTTCTCCAGCTTAGATTTTTCCTCATAGTCAAATTTTTCAAATTAGTGCCACAAGGTCCTGCTAATATATCCTCCTGCTCATGGCTTTCCCCTTGTCCTCCACTCGTCTGTGGTTAAGTGTGAATAATCCAAATGTTAGCTGAAATGCATCAAAACTTCTTAAGAATGGGATTTATCTCATTCCACAGTCATTATGACTTTATCCCCTGCTAATGACGCCTTATGACCAAATGGCCTTTTGTTTATAATTTAGGCAGGATTTGCAAAAGTAATTCGGGTATGTAAATATTTTTAAAAATTCTAGCTTCTAGTTTTCCATAACTGTTGCCAGTTCCTTTAGAGGAGAAGTTACAGTGAATCATAGCTGGCATCCCTCTAGTCCAACATCACACCACTGTACGCTTGGGAAAAATCCATTAGATGAGCAGGCATTTGCATACCAATTTGCCTTAGTTGTTAATTTAGCTGCTAAGTAATCAGGGAGTTATCTGCTGACTTGATGTATCTTGCTACAGAGCAGTGCTGCTCTGTCTCTCAAAAGCATTTGGTTGGAAGTGGCAGGGGATGAATGGAAAGAACTTTCTTTGGGCCTAAGCCTGAGGAAAGTGTAGGCAAACTCTGTTTGAACAGCTGAAGTCCACGTTTTCAGTGGCAGGGTGACAGACCTGTGGGACTTGCCAAAAGGTGTGGATTCAGGAAGCTTGCACAGATCCAAGTGGAGACTGAGCAGGTATAGCAAGTCCTTGACTGAAAATGTGTCAGAAACTGGAAAAGTATCAGAGAATGTATCTTGTACCCTTTGTCATCTCTTCATCCCTAAGCACCAACCTGGCAGAAGCTCCGTGGCCACCAATTCCATAAGCTCAAACTTATTTGCAGTGGTTATTGGAATGGTCCTCAGACTGCAGTGGAAAGGCTGCCAGGCTACAGCAGCTTCTTCCTCAACTTGTGCCTTCCGTCTGAAGGCAGAGTGTAAAAACCTGGAGTTCTGAGGTCAGTGCTAGACTGCTCCTATCTGCACATCACCTGTCTCTAGTCACAATGCTGCATTATTCTTCACCTTGTAACCACGAGCTTGTAGTTACCGTGCTGTAATCTGTAACATACCTGTCTTGTGTGCCTGATAATCTGTGAGATCTGACACTAAAAACTACCGTGAATGTCCTGCATCACCTTACGGAAGGAAAAGATAGTGTAAGTGTGAGCCTACACTTGTCACTCTCTACTCACCACACAAAATTCTGTATGAAGAGTCTTCTTGTTCCAGTACGCTCCTGCCCCCTTTTTTGTCCTGAGTTGGAGAATCTTCCCTTCTGATCCAGCAGGCTTCTCCAGATATTTAGATGAAAAAACCCCAAACACATTGCCGTTCTTAGGGCAGCTGTGCGAGCCTCATTTCTCCCAGCAGGCTGCAGAAGCTCGATCGGCTCTTGTTCAGCTTCGCTTTCATGACGTGCTCTATGCTGGAAGCGGGCCAGCGACACCATCTCTTAATTGCAAGGACAGCGGCTTAACCAGAGCCAACAGACACACTGCGGAGGGGGGATTTCGGGAGCGCTCCGCAGCCCCCACCACAGCGGCGCCAGCCGGGCTGGGCTCCAAAAGGAAAACCGAACGGGGCAGGTGACCACGATCAGGCCCTGCGTGACCTACGCGGAGCGCGGCGGACCCGTCAGGGCTGTCGGGGCCAGCGGGGCCGGGGGCGCGGGGAGCGCCGGGCACCCCCGGACCGGGCACCGCGGGACCTCCGCAGGGGCGGGGCCAGGTCGGGGGCGGGGCGCAGGGCGCTGCTCCCATTGGACAGTTCCGCGACAGGGCGGGGCTTGTCTGGGGCGGGGCTAACTGCCTGGTCTTTTCCCCGCAGGGTGCGGAACGCTGATTGGCTGAGGAGGAACCCAGGGGCGGTGCCGAGCTGCGGCTCTCAGCGGAGCAACTTTTGATTGGCTGCTGGCTCTGTGGGCGGGGCCCCGCTGTTATAAGTGCGGGGTCCGGGGGCTCGGGCTGTCGGTGCGGAGCTCGGTGCTCGGTGTCCCGCGGTTCCCTCCGGCCCGGCCATGTGAGTGTCCGCCCGGCCGTGGGCGAGCCGCGGTGGGCGCGGCGTGGGGGCGGTGCTGCAGCGTGAGGGACGGGGGTCAGTGCGGAGCCCGCGTCCTGGCCGGCGGCGGTGGGGTCGGGTGGCGCATTGCAGCAGCCGCGGGCAGGGCTGCCCGCACCGCCCCCGGGCGGTCCTGCTCTCCCGCTGGGTGCGTGGGCGAGTGGGTGCGTGGGCCGGGCCCCAGTGGTGATGTGCGGGGCCCCAGCTGGAGCCAGCCTGGCCGGCGGCCGCCACTGCGCCCAGCCCGGTGGCTGCCCGGTCCCCCCGGGGTGCCCCGCGCTGCCTCCCTGTCCCTCTTGCCCCGCCTTCCTTCCCCGTCTCCTGGTCATGCCCGTGCTGCCAGGTCGCCGCTCCCCCGGGAGGCCGCAGTGCTTGGCGCGACCGCACCCGCAAGCTCCTTCGACGAGGGGCTTGTTCCATTCCCGCTGCCCCCCGGGCTTGCCCCTGCTTCAGGCTCTGCCACGAGCCCGTCCGTTCCCGGTCCGGCGGGATCCAGCAAGGCTGCAGGCTCCCGAGGCTGCTGCAGCCTGGGGACGCTGGGGTTCGTGTGGATTTGGGGGTTCTCTCTGGAGCGGCTGAGTTTTCTCTTCGCTCATGTGTGTGTTCCCTTAGGTCTGACCCAGCTCAGCAGCCTGCTCCCGGCGCTCCCGAAGGAGGGGCTCCCGAAGGAGGCGCTCCCGAAGGGGCGGCCCCCGGTGGGGGTCCCCCCGGGGCTCCCCCCAACCTGACGAGCAATCGCCGGCTGCAGCAGACGCAGGCCCAGGTGCAGGAGGTCAGTAGCTGCCAGCCCGGGGGATGCCTGGACTCTGCTCCCGCTGCTCTGCAGCAGCGATGCTCTTCACCCGTGTCTGTCGCTGAGGGGGTGGCTCCTTTTGTCATGCCAAAGCCAGAAATTAGTTAATGCTCAATACTCAAAAATAGAGTGGCAAACCTATTAAAGAGGCTGGATGAGAGATGGCTTTATGTTTAAAAGCCTCTTAATTCTAGATAGGACTTCCAAGAACCAGGCTTGCCAGATTCTTTTGGTACCTCGCGCATCTCTTATGGGAACAAAGCTGTACAGCATCCAGGACAGCTCTTAATCCCTGCGGGCTGCTTCAAGGGAACGCTGTGTGCAGGGATGTGAGGGAACCCTTGCCTGGCTTCCCGGGATCAATCGCTGGCTTGGCTGCTGGCGCGCAGTAGCGCCCGTGTGCCTCAGCGGGGCAGCAGCTGGAAGGCGATCCGGCAATTCCGCAGCTCCCGGGGAGTGAGGGAGCGCATGACTCCCCTCATAGCGAGGGTGGCTTTGGCTTGCTGCTGCTGGAACGGAGAGCTCTTAGAAGCAGATGAGAATGTGAGGCTGAGGACCCGGCTGAAGTGTACTTGAAGTGATGTTTTAACAGTGACTCTCCGATTTTTTTTTTTTTTTCATTCCAAAGTAGGCAGTGACTTGAAATTACTTCTTTCTTACCCTGATCCTTTCCCCTCCCCCTTGTTCATGCTTTTTGTTTGTTAGTATTGCCACATCAGTTATTGACTAAGTAACTCTTACGTTTTCAGCTGTCTTTACCAACAGAACTGCTCCCGCTGTTCTCCTGCAGGTGGTTGATATCATGTGTGTAAACGTAGACAAGGTGCTGCAGCGAGACGAGAAGCTGTCAGAGCTGGATGACCGGGCAGACGCACTGCAGGCCGGCGCCTCGGTGTTTGAAAGCAGCGCAGCCAAACTCAAAAGGAAGTACTGGTGGAAGAACTGCAAGGTGAGTTCCCCAGTGCCACCATCTCCTTGTCAGGAGGGGACTGGGCTACTCCTCTCCTGCACAGCTTTCAAGTATAGCTGGGGCTTACTAACGATTTCAGATGTTTACGATTCTTTCACTGTGGGAAGGCTTTGAGGCCTTGGCTGCCGTGCCTTTGGGCCTGGCTCAGGTTCCCTGGCTGTCAGGAAGAATGGCAGCTTGTCCGTCTGTTCTGAGTATTGCTCTTGGACAATCTTTTTTTTTTTTCAGATGATGATCATGATGGGAGTGATTGGTGCCCTCGTGGTGGTGGTGATTGCAAGTAAGTACCAAAAACCTCAGGCTCAAAGGTGAGGAAACACCAGCTCTAGAGTACTTTAAACTTTTCCTTTTTGTTTTGAGATCTTGAGGGTCTTAGTTGCATAAGTGTCAACTCCAGTCTTTGGGAAAGGGAGGTAGAAGTGCTGGAACTCCCTCACTTAGTGGAAATGGTGTGCTTTACCTAGTAGTATGAGGAATGGGGAATGCCATCATTGTAGAAATGGGAAATTCTGCCTGCCAGGTCAGACAAACCTGTAAGTATGAGGGGTGTTTACCCTGGCGTGGGTGGGTTGGCAAGTTCCTTCCCTGGTGGGTGATTTGGAGCTCTCTGAGGGACCTTTGGTGTAACTTGCCCTTTTGTTCTTTCCTTTTTTCTTTTTTCTATTGCTTTGTCTCCAGTCTACTTTTTTACTTAAATGTAGCTCCTTCAGTCTGCAACCTCCTGTCCCCTGTTACCTTGCCTGTCTCTTCTTGCCTCTGAATTTTTCCTTTCCTTCCCTTTCACCTAGCTTCTTCATTGATTTCCTTATTGGTTTCAATTTATCTTCTCTATAGGACTCTGAGCCGCTTACTAAACAAAGGTAGATTTTTCAATAGCTGCTGCAGCTTTGGGGAGTGTCCTCTAAATTTAGAGGAAAGGGAAGTTGAGGAAGAGTGGGTAGCTATTTGCTCCTGCTCTTCTGCAGAGAACTTTTTGTGTTTTATTTTTGGGTGTAAGCTTGTCAAATAGTGCCTGTGTGAACTCTAGCAAAATAAGAATGCCTTAACACAGTGCCTTTTGGGATGAAGGACTTCAGCATGTGAGAGCCTTTGGTGTTCTGCCTAAAAAGAGTGGCAGCATGACTTGAGCTTTTCATTGAGCTTCTGAAATAAAAGCTGGTTTGTGTTGGCCAGTGGCTGTGAGCCATCTAAGCTACACGTAGTGATGTAGGTTTCTCTAGCCATGGAGAGGTGAGCACTTGAAGAAATGGTTTTTTCTGCCTGTCCTTATTTCCAGATGACTTGCCATTCAATGGCCATTTCAGTTTTCATAAAGGAGGGCCTACCTGATTACCTCAGTCAAGTGCAAGAGGCTAAACACAGTTAAGTGAAAGGGGCATTGCTACTATCTAAAAGGCATGTGTGGGAGTAAAGTCTCTCTCCACAAGGAACAAATGAACGACAATTACTCTGGTGGGGAGTGTCAAATATGCCTTTCATCTATGCACACACAAGCCAGGACCCTGTAGCTTCCTACTGAATTCTAGCTTTCCAGAAGGAAGACTTTGGAGTAGTGGCAGGCTGGGAATTGGTGTTTTGCTTTTGTGTGGCTGGGTTGAACGTCGAGGAAGCTCACTGCCTTAGCAGAGAGAGGTGAAGGGGCTGGAGGTATTGCAGATGAGACTGAATGAGCTGCACAGCTTTCTGATGAAGAATATCTGCTCTGTTTCTGCTGCCACAAAGCCCTAGCTTTCAGCAGGAGTTAGAAAACACTTGAAATGGTTAGCTGGGGATTCAAAGGGGAATGGTACTCTGGGCATGGATATTGCAAAGTGACATCAGATGTTCCAGTTTGGCAACTTAGGCCTCTAGAGATCTTGCTGACCAAACTGAATCTTCCTACTTGCTATGGGTTCTCTTGAATTTTAGGTCCAGGTAAACTTGTGGCTGTGGCTTTCTGTGGGCAATTCCCTTGTTCTTCTCCATCAAAAGTAACAGGAGCTGTGAGTTGTTTGAATGTGTTGTTGGACATGGGTTAAATGAGCTGCCCTGTTTCTGTAGAGTCTTCCGAGGAATGTGTGTCTTGTCTTTCAACTTTTTGTAACAAGCTGAGCTGTAGCCTGTAATCCAGACTGGAAAGAGGGTACTCCTTTAATTTAGAAAGCTCTGCCTCTGTTCTAGAATGCACTGGGATCTGTTTTGGCCTAAAAGGAGGCAGGGAGGATGTCACTGGAGTTCCCAGATAGGAACAAAGTACAAAAGATGGCAGGAGCAGATGCTTTTTGTTTCACTGGCTGTGCTGGGGAAGCCCCTTTCTGCCTCCCAGGACACCTGGCAAGGGGCTAGGTTTTGCATGCTCACTTCCATGCCCCAGCATTTTCATTTGAGTTCATCTCCCTGCAATTCCATTCCTCTCCGCCTTGGGGGAGGGCAGAGATGAAGATCTGGAGTGAAGCAGCCCTCGTCCCCTGAGCACTTCCCTAATTCCCTGTGGAACTGAGATGGGATGGACGGTCAGAAGTGCATCTGCTGAAGAGGAGCCAGGGCCTGCTTGTGCCACCTACTGCTCTCATTTTGGGGGGTAGGCTTTTACAAGCTCGAGGCCCCCAGACCAGCAATTCTCTCAAACTCTTCTAAACAAGCCTTTGGTGTCCCATTCCTCCTGTCTGTCTGGGAGCTGAGGTCCCCCTAGGCTGTCTCTTTCATTTCTTTCTCTTAGATGTTGTATGTCGCCTCCTCCTCTGCTCCCTTTCCCCTCCTTTGTGTCTCTGTGCATGGGCAAAACAAATCACCAAGGCCCTCTTAGTAAAAGCAAGGGACTCTGCTGCCCATGGCATCACAGCCACTCATGCACGTGCAGTTTATTTACTTCCTCTATAAACACAACTGTAATCTCCTCTGGCATGTTCTAGAAATCAGCTCATGTACTTTTAATGGTCTCTAAGAAACACAATTCACCACCTTACTGAGTCTGTCTGGTCTGTCAGTGAGCGGGAAGGGGTTGGGATGCCAACTTCTGGAAATTTTTTTTTTTTGTGACTTCCATAGCATGCACATACCTGAAGTTCTGTCCATCAAAGCAGTGGCTGGTTTTCCATTGTAAATGATTCTAGTTCCAGTTGTGCTGGACTGGCTCTGGTAAGTCTGTAACAAGATGTGGGAACCAGCAGCTCTGGGGGAAGAGGCTGCCCAGCCAAGTCTGCTTTCAGCCTCAGAATGTCCAGCCACTGTCCTGCTCAGGGGACTCTTCTGTGCATTACTGTGTTAGTGGCAGCTCTGGCTCTCAGGCTGTGCTGCCTTTAGATTTCAGTAACCTCAGTCCTTAAACCCAGTAAACAATTCTCCATTGGTGTTGGAATATAAGTTCAGGACCCAAAAGAAGATCTCCAAGAGTATGATGCTGTTCACAACGTATCTTGGAGCATGACTGGAATAAAGGTAAGTGCCCCTTTGTTTTGCTTCACTGTACATTTGAAACTCATTAAAAGGAAGTGACAGAGCTTTGTCCAGTGCAGACTTCTTTTAAAATTAGGTACTTGTGCCCTTTTCTGCCCTTATTTCTACAAAAGCTAGGTTGTAAAACAGTCTTCCATGTGGCATCTGGCTCCCTTATGATCAATCTTTGTCCAGTCTTAAACATCACCAAAATCCACACCAGAACAGTGAACACACTGGAACAACTCTCAGTGGTGAATTTGGAGGAAGGCAGCTAGACTAATTCTTCAAAGATGGAAGCCCTCCTGGGAAAGGAGGGTGTCTGGACTGGCTGGTGGATTAAAGCAGCATGTACAGTCTAAAATTCCACACAGTTCAGGCCTGCACAACCTGAACAAACGAGTCAAGCTACAATTCCTGCCAAGTTTTGTGTTGCGTTCCCGTCAGTTCTCAGCCTCACTCATGTAGGGAAGTAGGGAAGATGTTTTCATAGGACAGATGCACTTTTGGACTGTTGATGATGCAGTGTCCAAGTCCCTTGCCAAAGCTGGGCACTGAATGCTCATTTTCCAAAGCTGGCAGCTGCTCTGGAGCACAGAGCTGGGGCTGAACATACTGCTGAAAGTTGCCCCAGGGTTGAGCCCAGTTCATGAGTCATGTTGTGGCTGTTTGCAAAGACTTGCATATCTAGCCATAAATCCTCTGTTAGGCATTGAAAATACCATGTTCTACTGGAAGCTCTTCTGAGGTGCCATCCTTACCTGCATCAGCATTTCTGCTGCTCCTGCACTCTCTTATCCCAGACAAAACAAGATTTTAAACGTGCTCCAAAAGCAAGGCCAAGGCTTTGGGAGAATAGTTCTTTGTATGTCTAATTAAAAAGTCAAGCTCTGCCTTTAAACATGGAACATGTTTAACATGCCTTTGAGCTGGAACAGGTTGCCCAGAGAAGCTGTGGATGCCCCATCTCTGGAGATGTCCAGAGCTGGGTTGGCTGGGGCTTTGAGCAGCCTGGTCTAGTGGAAGGTGTCCCTGTCTGTGGCAAGGAGTTGGAGCTGAGATGATCTTTAAGGTCCCTTCCAACTCAAACCATTCTGTGCAAAATGCAGCTCCCATATCAACTGCTTCATCCTGACTTCTTCAGATGTGGTGGAAGAAAAGCCTCAGCTGTACTGCTCCTGAGTGGATGTACCCTGAACCTTCATATTTGTAGATGCCTGGGGCATCGTTCTGGCCTTTCCTGGGGTGTCTCTGTGCTGCTCAAAGCCAGTGCAGGCTCTCGTCAGTGGTGGGGCTTGTTGTCTCAGCTGGAGAGCAACCAAATGATGGTGGGGAAGACAGATTTTCTTCAGACATGGAATGCAGCATCAACACTTTTTTAATGAGCCTGGCTTCCTTGGGAAGTGACAGAGGTCCCTGCTCTGATGTATCCACTGGGGCTGGAAGCCTTAACTTGGTGAAGAGAGGTAATAAAGGGGAGGTTTTGTCTTTGTTCTGACCTCTAAACAAATGATTGCTCTGAGAGATGTAACAGATAAGGATATAGGTTTTACAAATAGGCAGCACAGCCCTGTCTGTTGGATACCTGAGCCTCCACACTCCTGATACTATTTGACCTATTTTTGGCCAGAGATAGAGTGCAACACTTACTCAGAACACCCAGATTTCAAATATGAGCAGCTTCATAACATCCTTCTGTGCACAGACCCACTAGATAATTTCAGCAGAGGGCTAGATGACACTTCATGCTCTTCCCTCAGAGCTTCTTTTCCAAAAGCCTTTGTACTACTTTTTTAAAACTAACTTTGCCATAAACGTATTAAGAATTTAATAAAGATTATAAGCTCTTTTTAGTGCATTGCTTTTAAGCATGACTTGGAAGCTGAAGGCACTTTCTTCAATTTTTCACATTCTCAGTGAAACACTCCTGTTTTTGGGCTCTTACTGCAGCACTGCTGGCCTTGCCTCTTGTTTTCAGCCAGACCAAGCTCACTATACATCTGCTGAGCTCATTTGTGGTCTTGCCAGCCTACAAGAAATGTAGGGATTATTTCTGGAACCCGATTTCTCCCAAGGTGGCAATTTTTGCACTGATTCACAGGACGGGGAGGGCTCATCTATTTGCCAGCTTGTGTAACTGCTTCTTCACATTTGTACAGGCTTTTAACTCTGGATTTACAGCTGTCCTGAATGGTGCCATTGCTTTGAGTTCATCAGTCAAAGCCCATTTTTCTTTGCATTTTAACACTTTTATGGAACAGAGAGGATATGGTTCAAGCTTCCCCCAGGGAATACATCACCACCTTCTGCAGCTGTATTTCTTTACTGATGAAGAGGACTTACTGTTTCAAGTAGTTATGCCTCTGATTAATCTTGCTTTAATCACCCACTTGACTATGCATGATGCAGCAGGTCTCATCAATTTTATGGTTATTACAAGGTTATTTGTGGTTCTGTGATGTGAAGAATCGTGTCTTTCTCTTTGGTTACTGAGGAAATATCATGCTTACCATATGAATCACTGTATGTTTATGGCATACAAAGACTGTTTTAAGGTGTTGCACCTGTTCTTTATCCTTTCTTAATTTGAAGGTGGCTTTGTGAAGCAAACAACTTTGTGTCCAGTGTCAGGTTTTTGCTCATTCATGTGCTAGAAAACACCCAAGGCATCAGTCTGCAGTACTGAATTTGTGACCAAGAACTGGGTGCAGCATCCTAGCTCCTCTATCTGCCTGCCTTTTGTATTTTAATTGTGGCCAAAGCTACTTTCAGCAACTAAACCTAGCTTTTACCTCTGCCTCTTGGGCAGTGTTTTTACAGAACATGAAACTACCTTCACAGAGGTACTTTGAAATTTTGAGATTTCATTCATTGCTCACTCTTTTTTACTTCATTTAGAAAATGGATTTTTTTCATGTTTGCAGAAGCTCTGGGGTTTTGTTTTTTTTTTTTTCTAATGGGGGCCTCCAAGGAGGAATTCATGTTTCCACACCTGTAAGTGCTTGTTGCAGGCTCCTCCCTCCTGCTGGGCTGCCACCCTTGCTGAAGGACACCTCCCAAATTATTAGCTTCTCTTCCTAGCAGAGAGACATTATCTTCATTTTCAAACAAGAGTTATCAACTGAGCACTGGGATAAAATTTGTAAAACCAGGAATATTTGTGCAATAAAGAACATAGCATTTGTGTGTGTGTGTGAAGAAGAATAAAATCACTCTCTGCTGGGAACTGGAAAATGCTTTTAGGTAATCAAGGCAAGAGCAGTACAACCAGCATGTGTTTAGCATCTCAAAGGGAAAAATTAGGCAATAGTTTAGACACTGCAGTAAACTCCTCCAACTTCCCAAGGGCAGTGCCTCTACCTTAAACTTTAAAATAGCTTGAGTGTTTCTTTTGTTATGATTAACTAGTTTTTAAATTCAAAAGTGGCTGTTCACAGTGTGACTGGTTACAGGGTTCCACAGGTCTTTGCCTAAACTGCTTAAATTCTGGTATCTCTGTTTGTCCTGTGAAGTGGATAATCCTGTTTTTTAAGGACATCACCCTTGCTCTCTTGATACCCCATAAAGTGCAGAGCAAACACCATTGCAGCAGAAGTCTGAGTATTTGTAAGAAAAGACTACGGCAAGC